GAATGAATGAAACAAGATGGGACTGGGAGGGAGACAAACCATAAGTGACTCTTAATTTCACAAAACAAACTGAGCGTTGCTGGGGGGAGGGGGTTTGGGAGAGGGGGGTGGTGTTATGGACATTGGGGAGGGTATGTGCTGGGGTGAGTGCTGTGAAGTGTGTAAACCTGGCAATTCACAGACCTGTACCCCTGGGGATAAAAATATATTATATGTTTATAAAAAATAAAAAAAATTTTTAAAGATTTTATTTATTTATTTGACAGAGAGAGATCACAAGTAGGCAGAGAGGCAGACAGAGAGAGGGGGAAGCAGGCTCCCCACTGAGCAGAGAGCCCGATGCGGGGCTCGATCCCAGAACCCTGGGATCATGACCTGAGCCAAAGGCAGAGGCTTTAACCACTGAGCCCCCCAGGCGCCCCTGGGTTCAAGTTCTTCTTTGGATGGTGTGGATGGCGCCTGAGGGGGTGTGTGACATGGAACTGTCCTTTCTCATCGTCACCTGCTTTTCTGGCTTCATCATAAACAAGTTGAGCTTTTCCTTTTTCTGCAACTTCGGGTAATATTTGAACCAACTTCTCCTCAGATGCTGCCAGACGTTCTGCAAGGCTCCCTGGCCTGATGTTGGAGGGGAGGGAGGGACTAGTGAGGATTCTTTTTCATTTAATAAAATTATAGGGTTGGTTAGTTGTCCGTATCTTCTTGAGTCACTCTGGCAATTTCTGCCTTTTTCTGGAGCGCGTCCATCCCACCCCACGTCCCAGATGCGTACGGATGGTGCTGCTCCTCGTGGGGGCCCCGCCGCGTCCGCAGCTGCATCTGCGCTCGCCCCGGTGCACGCTTGTGCCGCCCCTTCCCGTGGCCGGCGGTTGGTCACCCCGAGACCGGGGTCTGGTCCGTGTCCTGTTGGTCTGTGTCTTCTGTCTCACCCATGTCTGTTCTCATCATCCTCGTCGCCTTCCTTCCGCTTTCCCGGGGTTATTTCCCAGCGGAGTACTTACCTCCTTCATTTTTAGCCTCTTACTTTTATGATGTAAACATTCAAGATCATAATTTTTTTTCTTGAAATGCTGTTTTCCCTGCATTCTGTCAGTTTTGATATGTAGAACTTGTATTAGTTTGTGCTTCTAACAATCGTTGAGCGCCCGTGATAATTACTTCTTTAGCACATAGAGGACTGGCTTCCAATGTCAGAGAGCTTCGAGTTTTGGAGCTTTTAGTTATTTTTTTTAAAGATGGGTTTCTAGCCTAACTATGGGGTGGTCAAGGGGCAGAGTCTGTATACCACCCGCTCAGGTATTTGTGGGGACTTGCTTTGTAGCAGAGCAGATGACCCTGTAATGTTCCGCGTGGGCTGTAAGAGGAGAGAGATTCTCTTATGCTCGTTTCCATCTCTCTCTCTCTCACAGACACACACTCTCTCTCTCAACAGATCAAGCTTAATTAATGTGTTTTTCAAATCATCTGTATCTTGTTTGATTATTTTTCTGCTTAATTCTCCATGCTGAAGTTCCCTAGGATGGTGGGTTCGTCTTGCAGTTGTGTCAGAATTTGCTTTATATGTTTTTAAAATATGTTATTACGTGCTTATGCATATATTTTTAAGAATTATTGTATCTTCCTGTTGAGTGAAATATTTTATAATTATGAGGTAAACCTCTTTAACTCTAATAATGCTTTTTGCTATGCTGTCTGTTCTAACCAAGGTGGGTCTCGTTTCTCCAGCATTCTTCGGTTCGTGTTTGTATGACATTCCTCACTTTTTACTTTCAATCTTCCTTTACGCTTGTATGTTAGATGTATTTCTTATAAACTGCTTCTAGCTGAATGTAAGAAAAAGTCTAGTCTGACAGTATTTGCTTTTCAAATTATTAGTTTAGTCTGTTTACTCTCAGCATAGCTGCTGACGTACTCTGGGTCCAGTTGGACTAACCCTGACTTGTGCTCTCTGCTGGTTTTACATCTTCTGTTATTTTTTCCCTTTGTTTCTTACTATTCTTTTAGCTTCTTTATCCTTTTTATGTTTTCCTCTCTATTAACTTGAAAGTTATAAGTTCTATTTCCATTCTTTTAGAGATTGTCCTAGAAATCTTACCGTTGTCTGAAGTTAAAGTCAGGGCAGGGAGCTCAGAACAAGTCAACTTTCTTGTTCCTTCCCAACTTACTTACTAGCATTTTCTAGTGTTTTAACACAATGTTGTTTTTCTTAATTCTACAAATTAGACATTATCATGTTCGTTTTACGTATTGGATGGTTTTTGGAGTTTATGTTGTGTAGATGTGCGTATGCGCAGTAGACCTTGCTCTAAGGAAAACCAGGCTCTTTCTTGCTGAAAGAACGTCTTTTGCTACATCCTTTCATTGGGGCTATTTTCCCCTGAAAAATCCCTGTCTTTTCTCTTCCGAAAGAGAACGTTGCTGGGTTTGTAATTGTAGTTTGACAGAACTCTGAAAATAATACGTTGTTTGCCAGCGTCCATCGTTGCTGCTGGGACGCCTGCCGCCAGTCCTTCGTAGTTTCTGTGTGACGAGTCGTGTTTTCTCTCAACTGTCGCTCGTTTGGTTCCTTCCTCACCTTTACTTCAGCTCCGTGTGTTTGTTATCACTACAAAGTAACCACTTTATTGTTTCTTTCTTACTTTTAGTAGTAAAAGATACAAAACGTATCATTTTAGCCGTATTTGAGTGCAGTTCAGTAACGTTAGGGACACTCACAGTGTTGTGTGCCCACTATCTAGCTCCAAACATTTTTCATCATCCGAAACAAAGGCTCCGTCCCCATTAAACCATCACTCTCTACCTGCCTCCTCCCCGCCCCCAGCACCCACCCAAAACTGGCCTCTCCAGTGCTTCATGTACTCGGGATCCCTTGTTGTTTGTCTTTTTGTGTCTAGACACTTGAGCTCAGCGTGACGTCTTCAGAGTTCATCTGCGCTGTGGCATGTGTCAGAATTTCCTTCATTTTTAAAGCTGAATAAATTCCAGGGTGTGGGTGTGTGGGTGTGCGCGCGCGCGCATGCGTGTTTGGGGGCAGGGGTTCGCCCATTCGTCTGTTGATGACCACTTGGAACACTGGGTTCCTTCCACCTGTTGGCTGTTCTGAGGAATGCCCCCGTCCACCTCGGTACACACCATCTGTCCGAGGTTCTGCTCTCGGTTCTTTTGGATAAATGCCTACAAGTGCAAATGCCAGATCATATGGTAATTCTATGTTCAACTCTTTGAGAAACTGCCACTGTTTTCCAAAGTAAATATACCATTTTATTACAACTGGCAGTGCATGAGGGCTCCATTTCTCTGTATCCTTACCAATACTTTTCTTTTTTTTTTCTTTCCTTCTTTTTTTTTTTTTTTTAAGATTTTATCTATTTATTTGACAGAGAGAGACACAGTGAGAGAGGGAACACAAGCAGGGGGAGCAGGAGAGGGAAAAGCAGGCTTTCCGCTGGGCGGGGAGCCCGATGCGGGGCTCGATCCCAGGACCCTGGGATCATGCATGACCTGAGCCAAAGGCAGATGCTGCCTAACGACTGAGCCACCCAGGCGCTCCCCCCCCCCAACACTTATTTTCCTTAAAAAAAGAAAAGCCATCCTGACAGGTGTGAATATGTATCTCACTGTGGTTTGATTTGCGTGTCTCTAATGATGAGTGACGTTGAACATCCTCTCGTGTGCTTGTTGGCCATTGTATGTCTTTTTCCGAGAAACGTCTGCTTAAGCCCCTCGCCAACATTTCACTGGGTTATTTGCTTGCTTGTTGTTGGGTTGTAGGAGTTCTTTATGTATTCTGGATATTAATCCCTGAACAGATACATGATTTGCAAATATTCTCACTCACTCTGTGGGCTGTCTTCTCACTGTTTTGGTGGTGCTCTCTGAGGTACAAGAGTTCTTTATTTCCATGAAGCCCAACTTTTCTACTTTTAGTTTTGTTGTCTGTTTTGGGTGCCATGTCCAAAAAATCATTGCCATACCCAATGCTGACATTTCCCCACCACGTTTTCTTTTAAGATTTTTGTAGTTCAGCTCTTACAGTTTTGAGTGGCCTCTCGCATTCTCCGGAGGTAACCAGTGGTCGTTTAGAAATGAGCCGAATGCACCGATGGAGCTGTGTTGGGTGTTTCCGTGCACGGCTGCTGTCACCACATCCGAGCTCCTTCGCCCCTGCAGCCCGCGACAGCTGTCATTGCGTCCCGAGCCCCTTTGCTAGGACACTTGTGGGCTCTGATAACTTCTTTGTTTTCTGACATGACGAGACGTTCCAGCTTCGTTGGGTGCATTTTCTGCCTCAGACCCGGAATCGGCTGTTTCTCAAAAAAGTGCTGACGCCCTCCTCCCTACATGGAAGCCAGTCTGGGCACAGGCTGCTCCTGGCTCTAGGGTGGATTCTTACCTCTAGGCCCATGCGGTCGCCAGAGTGATGAAGTACTTCTCAGTCTACACGTGTAAGAAATTCACAGGGAAGCTTCCATTCGGGCCTGAAGCCCATTTCATTAGTGTGAACTCACACCCCCTCTCCCGGCTGAACCCCACCCGGCACGGGCATAATGCGTCTGTTTTTGTCACAGCTCCCATGTGTGCGCTTCCGAGGGATGCTGCCAGCACTGTGGCCACCAGAAGTGCCGCTGCAGGGTTTGCATCCTCGGTCTGTGGTGGTCACCTGGACACGCGCAAATGCCGTGCTGGGCTTTCGCGTCCCTCAGAATCCTCCTCTCTGTGCCGCTCATTGTTTCATCTTTGGATCTTCAGAGATGGCTTTTTAAATTGTAATTTTGTTTGCAATTATGCAAAATGTTTGTAGGGTTCTAAGACCAAATCTCTCCAACAAGGCAATGCCCCAGGACTCAGGCTGTGGGACGTGCTGTTTACTCGGGTCCCAGACAGGGGCAGCTCTGGGGGACGGGCGGGAGGCGCCTAGGGAGGACGGGGCAGCGGGGGCAGAAGCAGCCCTAGTCGCCGGCACCGAGCGCCCCTCACCTGTCCGTCTGCCTCCTGCACAGGTTGCCAGGCAGGAGGGAAGGATCATCTTGACCTCAGGGCTGCCGTACCACAAGGTGAGGGCCCTGAGGACGGCTCCCATCTGAGCCTCATCTTTCCAAGGGAGCCTCAGCCTGGCCCTTGGGCCACCCCCACTTGGGGTCTTACATGGGGCAGATGGTTGTGGGGGCTGACCCGACATTGCGGTCCCACCCTGGGTGGGCTAAGGGGAGGCTCTTGGCCCCTGAGCTGGGGGAGGGGAGGTTCTGGGTCTGCAGCCCAACCACCCCACTTTCATTCAGCTCCGGGCCCAGGTCGGGGCTGGGCGCTGCGTGTCGGTAGACTGCTCCCTCAAGGCCCAGCAGCAGGTAAAGGCTGTGCTCAAGCATTTCGTCGTGCGCGTCACCCCTGCCGACATCTTCAGCCGCTGCCAGGTGAGTCCTATGCACCCCGGGCCTGCCTTGGGCTGGTGTGTGAGCCCTGGGCTGTCGGGGAGCCGCTTCCGTGACGGGCAGGACCCAGCACGTCTCTGGCCAGCAGCCGGAGACCACAGGCTTTGGGGTTTGTGTTCCTGCCAGCAGCATCCACCAGGACCCCACATTTCTTTCTCTTCCTCCCACCCCCACTGAGGCCAGGAGGTGGCAGAGCTCTGGGGCTGGCACTGCCAAGGGGACAGCTCACGTGGGATGCCTGTTCCATTCAGGCATTTCCTCCCGTGTCCAGGGCTGGCCTCTCACCAGGCTTCTAGGTGAAGGAAAAGGAGCCCATGGAAGCTGCGTCTGGTTGCGGGGGGTGTCCCATGTTCGGAGGGCAATGTCCACGGCCACAGATGGCCACTGGGTCTGTCTCAACATCTGGAAAGGTCTGGGTGAAGAAATCGCCATGTCAGGGCAGCCATATCCAGGGTTAAGTTCGGGGAGGGGTCTGGGGCCTGGGTACCGTCTGCTGATTGGGCCAGGGAGGGGGCACCTGGGAGCTCTGCACTCTTCTAGCACCCCCTCCGCGTGCCATCCGGCTGAGGGGGAGGTGATGCACGCTGGGGCCTCCATGGGCTACAGCGGGCAGAGGGCCTTGGGGTCAGTCCTATCACGCTCCCGTGGCTCCCAGTGCTAGTCCCAGGGTATTTTGGGGGCGGGAGCCGCGACAGAACGCCGTCCTCCCCAAGCCTGGTGTCTCGGTGGATGCCGGGCCTCCCGTCCATGGTGCAGGAGAGGGACGGCCTCCAGCGAGACCCGTGGCACCTGAAGCCATAGGGCTGAGTCAGGAGATTTGCAGCCCCTGCGGCGTCTGTGTGCCCCCCAGGACAGGCATGCAGCGGAGTGGGAGGGAGGGGAGAGGGCCTGGGCCCCCAGAGCCAGGCCTCAGGAGCAGTCTGTGCAGATCCCCCGACCCCAAGCCCGCCCGCACAGACAGCGGCTGACCCAGTGGCGGGAAGTGCGCCGTGGGGCCTTTCCCTTCAGTGAGCTCTGGGAGGACAGGAACCTTGTCTGCTGCCTCTCTTTGTCTGTGCTCAAGCCCGACGAGTGTTGTAAAGACCCCAGGACGTCCGGGACGCCTGGGAGGCATTTTAATGAGCTTTTCAGAGCCTCTGCTGCTAAGTTTTCTTGAGAAAACAGGAAGTTGGGTCGTTGGGAGGAAACCCCCACTGGCGCCCGGGGAGCCTCATGCTGCGGAGTGGCCTGACCTCCTTCGGGCCTGTGAGGGCATCAGGCCGCCACCCTCCTGCACAGGGAAGAGCGGCCCCGGCCTCGCGGCCCCGGCTGTCCTGTGCGTGCTGTGCCTCCTGGCCCCACAGTCGGCAGCCCGCAGGCTGAAGTCCCCCTGCACTGCGAGCCAGGAGGGGCAGAACGCCGGCCACTTGAGGATGCCGGGGGGCTGCCTGCTGTCGGCTCAAAGGCCAGGGCACAGAGCTGCACCACCTTGAGAGGGGACCAGCCGGCGCCCAGGCCAGAGAGGGGGCCCTCAGCCACCCCAGGACAGAAAGAACTGTGGGGGGTGGGGCGTACGGAGGTGCTGGGGTCTGTTCCGGCCGTAGCAGGTGGGACACATTCGGGGGGCTCTGACGATCAGGTAGGGAGGTGGGAGACCTGGGAGCACCCGCTGGGTCTAGAGCACCCGCTGGCGCCAGAGCAGAGGAGTATGACCAGATTCAGAATGCGGCATGAAGCTGTGCTGGGCTCCGAGCTTGTAGGCCCTGCCCCTAACCAGTCGTCTGGGCTCCCTGGGGTCTGGTCTGGAGGCAGATGCACTGGGCTAGGGAGGGGCATGGGGAAGTGGAAGCCTCAGCCCCCAGCTCCCTGCTCCTCTGGGGGCTCTGCCCAGCAGTGTCCCCACGAGGCCAGCCGGTTAGGATGGAGACAGGGTCCACAACTTGGGACCATGCAGCTGCGCTGGCCCAGATGCAGAAGGCAGCCTCCCTAGTACCAAAAGGCGCACAGGGCTGGAGGGGTGTGGTGGGGTCCCAGGCAGAGACCTGTGTGTGTGGCCACAGGCAGGGGCTGGCCACCACGTGGGCAGCCAGCAGGGGCGCAGGTAGGAGGCTGTGTGTCGGCACCTGCTGGCCTCTGTCAAGAAAGGGCCCGGGAATGCCTGGATGGCTCAGTTGTTAAGTGTCTGCCTTCAGCTCAGGTCATGATCTCAGGGTCCTGGGATCGAGCCCCACATCGGGCTCTCTGCTCAGCGGGGAGCCTGCTTCCTCCCTCTCTCTCTGCCTGCCTCTCTGCCTGCTTGTGATCTCTCTGTCAAATAAATAAATAAAATCTTTGAAAAAAAAGAAAGAAAAAGAAAGGGCCCTGGGAACCTTCCAGTCCTGGGGTGGCCCCTGGCCTCCATCAGAGCTCAACTCTACAAGAACGTGCTCTGGCTGCGCCCCAGGGCAGGACCCTCCCTGGGCCCATGAGTGTGCATAAGGACCCAAAACGCCAGCATTACCGGGCCCGGTGGGCAGAGAAGGGGTCTCTGAGAAGCCAGAGTTTCTAAATTTGTACCCAGCCGTAGTCACCAGGGAGGCGACTGGGAAGGGTAGGAGGGCTGAGCTCACTCAGGGTCGGCGAGCTGGTAAAATTAGTGCCTGTTCTCAGGCCAGACACCCAGGTGTGCGTGCCAGTGCTGTGTGAGCCGTGGGGGGGATGCAATTCTCGGGGCCAGGTAGGGTGGACCAGTAGCGAACCCCAAGAGGCACAGAAGAGGTGCCCCACAGACACTCCACGGGGATAGCCTGAGGCTCAACACAGTGACGAGCCTGGCTCCGTTGGCTCCGTGTTGTTCCGTGGGGTTCCATGGGGCTCTGTGTCATTCCGTGGGGCTCCATGGGGCTCTGTGTTGTTCCTTCTGTGTTGTCCTTCTGTGGGGTTCTATGGGGCTCCGTGGGGCTCCATGTGGTTCTGTTAAGCTCCGTGTCATTCCATGGGGTTCTGTATGTTTCTATGGGGCTCCATTTCATTCCGTGTCATTCTGTGGGGCTCTCTTCGGCTCTGTGTCATTCTGTGGGGCTCCACAGGGCTCTGGTCATTCCACGGGGTTTCGTGGGGGCTCAGTGTCATCCTGTGGCGTTCCACGGGGCTCTGTGGGGCTATTGGCTTGCAAGCCCATCTAGGCATCTGAAGGTGCTGTCCACTGACCAGCAGAGAGCATCACATTCAGGACTGACCCCGGGAGGGCCTCTGTGCAGTGCTTGGCCTTCAGGGCCCTGTCCCATGCTCCGGTGGGCCTGAGCCCCAACGAGTGGCTCAGAGCCTCTGCCACCCCTGGCCCCGGCTGGAGCGGGCTACCTCCCTGGAGATCTCCCACTGCCAGGCTGACTTTCCATTTTCCTTCCCTTCTTCATGCTATTTTAGTGCCATTCCCAGAGGGAAAACCCACTTGACACACACAGCATTCCCAGAGCACGCCTGGCCACTCTGTGGGCTGGTGCATGGGGGTACAGGATAGACGTGTGGAGGGAGAAGGCCCAGGCCAGGGTTGGCCAGGTGCCTGGCCAGGGGTCTGTGGCCACGCTTCACCCTCGCACCCCTGACCCCAGGCTGCGTGGACGTTCCACACGGCACGTGCCTTCTGGGGCATCTGCCCGTGAGGACAGCGTGCCAGGGCCAGAGCCAGGTGGTGGAGGCCCAAAGTGGACAGGGAGATGGTCCACCTGCCCACACCAGGGATTTGATGGGTCTCACATGGGGGCAGGATCGTGACCCCTGAAGCTGGCGACCTGGGCCTGGGATTGTCCATCAGGAACATCCGCCAAAAGGACATTCCCAGTGCTGTCCACCATGGGAAAATATTTTATCAAAGAAATATGAGTTAAAAAAAAAAAAAAAGCCTAAGTACGAACCCCTGACATGGCATAATGTCTATTTTTACTGTCCCTCTGGTCCCCCTCCGCTGTCGTGGGGATCAGGCTGTGGCCCCATGCGGAGGTGGGGGAGGGTCCTGGGAGTCAGTGACGTTGGCCTCCGGAAGTGGGCACTCGGGAGGGGAGGCCTCTGCGGACAGTGACCCTGCCGTAGGGAGCTCTTGCACGGTGCTGGCTACAGGATCCCCAGGAGGGAGATGGGCCAGAGAGGAGCCCGCAGCTGGGGGAGGCCGGGCCTTGGGCTACAGCCTCACAGGCACCCAGGAGGCAAGAGGGCTGGGCAGGGACCCTGGGACAGAGGCGGACAGCAGCCCAGACTGATCCATGACAGGGGAGAGACACAAGCAGAGGGCTCCCAGGGCCTGGGGGGTGAGCAGGACTCCAGGGCGGCCACCCCACAGCACCCACGCCTGGAACCCAGGGCCAGCCGCGGCACCTGTGCCTGGGCCTGTCCCTGGGCCTGCAGACCCTCCCTCTGTCCTGATGACCAACTCCAGACCAGGGACTGACAGGAAGAGGGGCCACGGCCACTGACCCCGCCCCTCCCCAGCCTTTGTGCTCCGTGGCCCCCAGCCCCGTTCCCACACTCGGTGCCCTCAGGGTCACACAGGCACAAAGGCTGGGGAGGGGTGGCCACCACCTTCCGCGGGGAGAGACCCCAGCCCGCTGGCTCTAAGGCTGCAGGAGGAATGGCCGCGGGGACTCTGGAGGAGGACGGGTCGGACCAGCTGGCGTCCAGTTGCCGCACTGTCGTGAGACATCAAGGACAGTGGGATCCACCAGCAGGTTTTGGCAGGGACTGAGGCCAGTGTGCCCCAGACTCAAGAGTTAGCCAGGATGATGGTCAGCAAGCCCAGCACGGTTCCCAGGGGAGGCTGCCTCCCGGCTCTCCCCACAGCTGGTGGCCACCCCTCTGGCCTCCCTCCCCTCCAGAGAAGCCGTGGGTCTCAGCCAGAGCCCCAGCCTCTGTTCCCACCAGATGGCCCTGGGGCATTAAGGACTTGGACCCCATTACTGCCCTTGGTCTGACCCCGGCCACTTTGGGAAGATCCTGGGCCTGCCTGACAGCCGCACCTGCACCGCTGACCC